TATATAATATATAATGTATATAAACTATATAATATATAATATATATAAAATACATTATATATAAAATACATTATATATAATGTATATAAAATATACAATATATAAAATATAAAATATATATAATACATATTACATACAAAGATATATAATACATACAAAATACATAATACATACAAAATATATAATATAGAATATATATAAAATATATAATATATAGTGTATATAAAATATATAACATCTATAATACACATTACATATAAAGATATATAATACATACAAAATATATAATATATAATATATATAAATATATATTATGTATATAAAGTATATAATATATATAAAAATATAATATACATAATATTTATAATATATAATATTGATTTATATATATATATATATATATTTGTCCCAGGATGATATTCCCACCAGGATAAAGGTCTTTTCCCAGAGAAATCAGCCACTTGGGTGACTTTTATTTCCAGGGAAAGAAAAGCCTGGAATGGCAACATTCCCTAGGGAAGATCCCCCCCTGGCTTGAGGGGGCAGAGGGAAAACTGCTGCTCCCTCCAGCAAATTCAGCTCCTTGTGCAAGAAACGGGATTTTCCACGGATCTGGGCAGAGCTTCTGCCTCTGGTTTTCCGAGGAGTCGTCTATTCCCGGAGCAGGGAATATTCCCTGGATTCTCCCCATGGAATTCTCACCTTTGGCCGGGTCTCCGAGCGTGGAGATGGAGCTGCTGTTGACCCGGAGGCCCGTCCGACACACCTCCCTCGCCTTGGGAAGAGCACAAAACAGCCCCTTTTAACACCGATTTTCCCAAAAAAAAAATCAGGGATATAGAGAACAAAAGCAGCTGGAAAAAACACTTGCAAAGGATAAAGGAAACGAGACAAAAAACGGGAAGAAGCGACGGGGAGAAAAGAGAATTAAACTGCCCAAAGCCACCCTCGGCAGCATTAAATAGTGTTAAAGGAATTCCTGCTGGATTCCCTGGGCATCCCTGAAAAACTCCTTTCACAAAATCCAAGGCATCCTGGTGAAAAACACGGGGCAGGGATAATTTGTGGGAGGTTCTCTCCCCACTCAGAATCCAGGGAATCTGCCCCCAAAGCACTTGAAAAATTCCCATCTCCTGTCCCAGAGGGGCTTTTCCAGGTGTGCCCGACAGGTTTCATTCCCTGTTCTTGGCACAGGGTAGGGTTAGGTGGGATATTGGGAAGGAATTCTTGGCTGGGAGGGTGGGGAGGGGCTGGAATGGATTTCCCAGAGAAGCTGTGGCTGCCCCTGGATCCCTGGAAGTGTCCAAGGCCGGGTTGGAACCACCCGATAGTTGGGATAGTGGGAGGTGTCCCTGCCCATGGCAGGGGGTGGGAATGGATGGGATTTAAGGTCCCTTCCAACCCAAAGCACTCTGGGATCCTGTCATTCCATGGACTTGGAGGCAGGGATGGCTCCAGACAATTCCTGGGGGATGCTGCTCTGAGGGATTAAAGCATAAAACTGAATTCCAGGGAGAGCTGAGAGCCCCTTGCAGGGCCTGAAGGGGCTCCAGGAGAGCTGGAGAGGGATTTGGGACAAGGGATGGAGGGACAGGACACAGGGAATGGTTTCCCAGTGCCAGAGGGCAGGGATGGATGGGATATTGGGAAGGAATTCCTGCTGGGAGGGTGGGGAGGGGCTGGAATGGATTTCCCAGAGAAGCTGTGGCTGCCCCTGGATCCCTGGGAGTGTCCAAGGGCAGGTTGGAGCAACCTGGGATAGTGGGAGGTGTCAGGGGTGGAACAAGATGGGCTTTAAGGTCCCTTCCCAACCCAAAGCATCCCGTGGTTCTGGGAGAAATCCACTGGGACAAAGGGAAACTCCTCCTGTCTCCCTGCAGAGGGAAAAGGGAGCGGTCAAATCCCAAAGAGAACCAACCGGAGAGACGGAAAACAAGATCCGTCCCTAAAACCTCCTCCCGGACTATTCCCGGCGGGAATCCCAGGGCATGGAGAGCCAGGATTCCTCAGCCTCCGGCTCTGCTGGGACAGAGGGGCCACTCAGGATCAAATTCCAGCTGGGCAAACATTCCCAGGTTACCTCTTCTTCCTTGTCAAAGAGGAGGAAGGCGAAGGTCTCCTGCAGCTCCTCCCGGCTGTACCCGGCGGCTTCCTTGGCTCGGGCGAAAGCTTTCAGCTGGAAAACACACAGGGAAAACTTGATTCCATGTTTTTTAGGGGACATGGAGAGGGGGGACAGCCCGTCCTAAACACCCCCAACATTCCCAGGATGCAGCCTGGATCCAGCTGGATCAGCTCCTGCGCCCACACGGCGCTTCCAGGGAGAACGTTGTGGGAGCAAAGAGGATCCTGGTCCGTGGGTCAGGGAAGTGGTGGAAGGATGGGATTTTGGGGGGTCCAGAACTCCCAGATGACTTGAAAGCCCATTTTTTTATCCAGCTCCACAGTGATTATCCCGGATTTAGGCAGCTTTTGCTTCTCCAGGCTCTCACAAAAAGGATGGAAAGAGGCTTTGGACAAGGGTATGGAGCGACAGGACAAGGGGGAAGGGCCTTCAGCTGGAGGAAGGCAGGGTTAGATGGGATTTTTGGGAAGGAATTCCTGGCTGGGAGGGTGGAGAGGGGCTGGAATTGATTTCCCAGAGAAGCTGTGGCTGCCCCTGGATCCCTGGGAGTGTCCAAGGCCGGGTTGGAGCAACCTGGGACAGTGGCAGGTGCCCCTGTTGTGTGGAGGGGTTGGAATTGGATCATCTTTAAGGCCCCTTCCAGCCCAAACCATTCCATGATCCTCCAGTTCCCAAACCCTGTTTAATCCATGACAACTGGTGATTCCCAGCTCCCAGAGCAGCCTGTTTTCCAGTGGGAATACAGGGATGGAG